CATTAGTTTTTTTACATAATAAAAAATAATATTTGTAATAGTAATATATTTATAATTAAATAACATCACTAAAAGAAAATTAGTATTAAAAAAAAAGATGACAAAAAGACAAAATTACAAAAAAGAAATGATAGGGAATAGGAGTGTCATTAATAAGGAGTAGATGCCATTAACCTTCCCCTTATAAAATCGCTCATGAATTTGCAAAAGAGAAATATTAATCCTATTATAACAAATATAAATGTAACATCTCAAGATCATATTTGTATATAATCATGTATTTCATATCTCAAGAAATATAAATTTACACATTTGGTCCCAAATATACAAAAACTACATTACAAAAATAACTACCAAATTTTTCCATAAAACCCCTATACAATATACAAGTACAAAAGATATCATAACCAGTGGCGGACGCAGAAAAATATATTGTAGGGGGCACGTTATAAAATAAAATAATAATTAACTTCAATTTCATACAAAAATGATAAAAAGTTACCTCTTACAACTGTGCCCTACGACTTTTCATCTTTTGAAATTGCGTAATTACATCATCATTTTTTCTATCGGCCGGATCCCAAGGAAGATCGTTCAAATCAATTTCGGAAGACATCGAAGGAGCAGAGCTCGATTCAGGTGTTGATGCTTTCCTTTTAAAAAATCTTTCCATTTGATTTGCCTAATTGCCTACAAAATTACCCACAAAATTAACCAACAAAATTAACCTAAATCCTAAAGCATTTACCAAATACCAATTACCACAAAATTAACCTAAAATAAATACCTAACCTAAAGCATTTATCAATTACCACAAAATTAACATAAAATAAATACCTAACCCTAACCTAAAGCATTTACCAATTACCAATTACCACAAAATTAACCTAAAATACTACTAATTGAAAACTTGAAGATGGAAATTAGAATTAGAAATTTAGAATATTTACTTACCAATTACCAAGGCAACAAGCAGCCAGGAGCCAAGTCGGTCTCGACTCTCGCGGTCTCGCCTCCTCTCGCGCAGGTCGCAGGCGGCAGGCTCGCAGCAGTGCAGGCGCCAGCACGGCAGCACCAGTCGTCGTCGCCTCGTCGGTCTCGCCAGTCGCCTCCTCTCTGCGTCTGCGGTCTGTCTCGCTCTCGCCTCCTCTCTGCGGTCTATCCTCTATCGCTCTCCTCTCCTCGTTGGCTCGTTCCCGTGTGCAGGTTAGAGACTTAGAGGGGCCTTTGTCTCATATTGTTGGGGGCCCAAAGAACACTTAATTAAAAATACAAGTAAAAAAAAATTGGGCTTTGGTGTTAAAATGTTGTTGGGGGCCCAGACCCCCTACCCCTTAAACGTGCATCCGCCTCTGATCATAACATCCCAGAAATCAATCATGTAATCTTCACAATTTCCCCTTCCTCTTATCAATTGATTGTGTCTGACCCATAATGTACTATTTGAAATACAAAATGAGAGTTAGACTTTGAGGTCTAATGAAAAATCCATTTGTTTGTTGTTGTTTTTTTTTTGAAGTATATAATATTTATATACGGCAAATAGAACAAATAAACTCACACACACTCCTCACCTTTGGTAGGTTTGAACTCTTGACCTCCTAGAAGGCCAAGGACTCACATACCGCCAGGGTGAATGATCACCAAAACCCTTTCATAAACTCATATTTGTATCAATAACAAATAAACAACATTTTAATAAAACAAAAATCTTTTGTTGCATCACAAGGATGAGACATTACCCAATTATTACATCAAATAGCCAAACAACTCATTTATCGCATTATGATAAAACTCATCGCCTCATATAGGTAAAATCATAAATTCCTCGCATCACATAGGTGAGACGACCCCATTTCCTCATAACACGCTGGTGCGAGAACCCCATCTCATCGCATCAACTAGATGCGATAAACCCAACTTGTCGCATCACAAGGGTGCGACAAACATCTCCTCGCATCACAAGGATGCGATAAAAACCATTCATCGCATTAATAAGATGCGATAACTCAAGTCATCGTATCACACAGATGCGACAACTCAAAGTCATCGCATTATAAGGATGCGACAACAGTTAACCACTTGATCAAAAACCCAGTTTTTTACATTATGTTGATTATGTCACCCTTTTTCCTAGTATACATCTCTTATTGATATGTCATCCTTATAACCAAAATACATCTCTTCGGATTATGTCACTCTTATTCTAATCATTTGATATTAACATATCAAAATACAAAATTATGCTAAACATAGTATAAAAACAGTTTTTCATAAATTTCCCACGTAAAGAACCATACGGTTCTAATCCACAAAATAAGATGAAATTTTGTAAAATAAACTCATCTTATGATCACAAGAGATGAAGATATAAAGATGAACAATAACAAATAACCAGAACAAGAATCACAAAAATCTGTTTCTTTCTTTTCTCTTCTTTCGGTTCTCTTTTTCTCGGCTCAAAAACACACAGAAGTTATCAACTTTTCTTACTCTTATCTTTAATCATCCCAATGAGATAAAAAAAAAATCTCCTCTAATATGCTTTTAAAATATAAGGCGTTGGAGCTTATAAATTGATTTAAGCACATAACAAAATAACCCCCTTAACTTACCACTAATAATAAAAAACAACCTCAAACTTTATAATCGATTAACCGGTAATCACAATAAATATGATATTGAAAAAATGTGTACGCACTTTCAAATATACTTTTTTTTCATCACCAACATGCAATTTTATCACGTCACTTTTATTTTTTCCTATTGGTAATATTAGACAAGATAAAATGAAGAATGAATTGTGGATTTGGTCGTTGTGTTTTGATATTCTTTTGACTAGGATCCTTATGATATGTTTATTGTGAATTTGATATTTGTGGTATTCAATTCGTCTCGGCCTTAGTCACTCTAACTAACGCGGCTGTTAACTTCGTTAAATCAATGACCATTTTTGTTATTTTAACTATTATTTGTCTTTTTTCCTATAAAAATTAAAAAAAAGTATTAGTATACACACACAAACAATATATATATATATATATATATATAGACAGTTTCAACGAGAATGCTAATTATTTAAAAAAACAAGAAAAAATGTTGTTAATGTATAAAATCATATCTGATTCACGTAAAGTAATACATTAGTCTCTCTCACACACACACACATATATATATATATATAGGAAAGGGTTCAAACGAGAATACCTTCATTTTACAAGAATGTGAGAACACATTTTTACTATAGATAATCACATGTGATACACATACTATTATTTCTACTAAAAAATAAATGAATAATAATAATAATAATAATATAGAAGAGGTAATGGGCAGCGAAATCCGTCAGGCTCAGGCCCATATTATATGCAGACTGAAAAGCCCAGTGTCTCTCACTTACACATTAAGCTACTGACCCAATTTGTACGCTATTTCGTAGTATTTGAACAACTTTTATATTGCACATTTTGATGGGTAAAGTTATTCGAAAACAGGGTTTATATGGTCCCCTAACTACATTGAAATATATATATATATATATATATATATATATATATATATGGAGGTTCAAACGAAAACTTCTGTAATTTACGAGAACACAATAACAACCTAATAAGCTCAAACTTTTTTAATTAATAAATTAACTTATATTAAATATAAATAAATTAATAAAGACAGTAATGTAATTAAGTAATTTTTATAATTTTTATTTTATTTTCATTAGTCATAATTATCCATTTTTTTCCTGCACGTTCGTTTCAACTCTCTTCTTTTCCTTCATGATAATTGTGTGATTGTGTAACCATAACCTATCGAAACCATGATCAATCAAGTGTAACCATAACCTATCGAAACCATGAGTAATCGTTGTGATAAATGTGTGATCGTCTAACTCTAACCGATCGAAACCATGATCAAATCGAGTGCGCTGTTATGATAGTGATATCACATGATTATCAAACATATATCACACCAAATCGATAGTCGAAATTCTAAGTTAACCCTAGCCGAACGGAATTCTTGTGATAATTGTGTGATAGTCACATGATTATCACACCCACATTACACCAAATCGTGTTGATATAAGCAATAATGTGATAATTGTGTGATAATCACATGATTATCACACCCATATCACACTAAATCGTGTTGATATAAGCGATAATGTGATAATTGTGTGATTATCACACCCATATCACATGATTAACCGTTTATTAGATAATGATAATCATAACCGTGTAATCGTGTTAAAGATTTTATGATATTATTTCCATTATTATCCTTTTAGTTTTATATTTTTTGAATCTTTTTAAATTTCAATTTTAATTTAAAAAATCTTTTAATTTTATTTTTTTATCACAATATGAGGTTATTGAGTTGTTCTTGCATTCTCGTAAATCACAAGGGTTCTCGTTTGAACTCTTCCCTATATATATATATATATATATATATATATATATATATAGGGAAGATCAAATGTTAACCAACAATTTTGTGTTAACTTTGAAAACCATGGCAACCAATCAAATTCCATTATATATATATATATATATATATATGAGTGATCAAATGCAAACCACCCATGTCTGTATAAACCATGCAAATCACCATCATTCGTCGATTTCATTGTTTAATCTTATGAATTTTTTTAATCTTATGAAATTGTTTCATATTAATATTTTTATTGATGAAGTTGTTTTATATATGGTTATGAAATTATTTCATATAATATATATGAAATTTTAATGAAATTGTTTCATGTATTTCTCTAAAATTAATATAATGAAGATGATAATATCCATGATTAATATCTTCCACAATAAAAATGATTAATCAACCTTTCATAATTACAAAAAAAAAAAGAACAAAATGAAAAATTATGATTAGTTAAATGAGGTTTATACGGTTTATACAAATAACGTGGTTTGTAAGTGAATTTCTCTCTCTCTCTCTCTCTCTCTCTCTCTCTATATATATATATATATATATATATATATATATATATATATACACACACATACATATTTTAAGTTAATTTGGTGTTTAACAAGTAGTAGAACACATCATTAAACTCGTCATTTATGCTTCACATACTTGTATGTAATCATCGATTGATGTTTGTCATGCTTCTTTAGACCCCTCTAGTTGTTGATTATGATATATAAACAAGTACATGAAAAGGGTTGTGTTTTACTAAACCACATTATTTTGTATTTTATTTGTGGTATTCTTAACTTTTGATACATAAAAAACGACATTCTTGTTTTCGATCTTATATTCTTGGAAACTACCTAATAATTGATTCTTTGTATGTGTTTTTTTAGTTCTTTCTTCTATTCTTTTGCTTGTAGCAGTTACGCATGCACTTTCATATAATTTTAGATATATGTTAAATTTACTATTTTCATCAGTTTTGGCTGTTGAAATTCCACATTGATTAGACTAATTTTAAGGGTTCTTTTGAAAAGCATTCCGGAGGTTGTACATATACAACTATACTTGCTATTAAATTGGGAAAACATGACCAAATCTGGCTTCGACTGTTCAAGCAAGTGGGACTTCCCGTAAGCTTTTATTCACTAGTTTTGAATCAAGTCGTAGGATTTCAAACTCTATCTAAGTTTATGATCTCAATGATAGATTTAAAGTCGTACCTGAAATCGGGCATAATGAAATCTTTTGTGTTGGCCTTGATTCAACAATTCCATCAATAAAATTAAATTGGGTCCCAAGTCTCAATCTATTAATGGCTTATGGGTCTCATAATGAACCATTTGGGATTCTGGAAACATCAAGTTTTGGGATATAAGGTTTGGGAATCTTGTTGTGGAAATAAAAGAAAAAGCAATTGCTTTTCGGATATCATAGTTTCTGATATCCTTTCGGCTATATTAAAAAATTGGGATGAACTCGGGAGAAGTTTTCTATATTTATTTTAGGAACATCTCGTCTGATACTTCTTGGAATAAAGAGTTTACAAACACAAGAAACGGAAAACACAGAGACGAACCACATGAACGAAAAGGGACAAACAGAGAAGAACCACAAGAACGACACGTTAAGTCGCGTGAATCACTGTGTGGACTTCTCTCCCCTGATTTCAACCTACAGCTCCAAAGATCAAAACCAAACTCATAACATCACCCAAATTCACCAAAATAATCATTATAACCCAACATTGATCCTAGAATGATATAAAAGAAAATGCCAAAAGATTACGCGACTTCTCCTGCGACCAAAGTTGATAATAAAAGTCTAAGGCAAACCAAGGTATTAGAACATCCCCTTTTAAAGGAATTTCGTCCTAAAGTTCAATCACTCGAAAAAATCAAGGTATTTTGATCTTATTTCTGATTCTAGTTCCCAGGTAGCCTCTTGACATTTGAGATAACGCTATTGAACCCTTACCTAACCGATCTCTTTTGTATCTTTTCCACTTACGGTTAACCTTACAAAGCCACTGGTTGTTCCTATAACCCCCCCCCCAAATAATCAAAGATAAAAATCTTTAAATTCACATTTTACTTCAGTTTTACAAGAATCTTGTAATCAGATTCCAAATCTTCATGGGGTTTCGATTTTATTATGGAATTCTTGGAAACCCAATAATGTGTGAATACTACAGCTACTCTCGTTTAGGTTTTTTCTTGATCTGTTGTCAACTTTGTATTCTTTGAGATGCATCCCTTCTTTCTTTTTGAGTTTCTCTTTGTTTGTATCATGGTGTTAAAGAGTTGGATCTTTTGAGTACAACTCTGATGCAAACAATAGAACCCCAATTTTGTTAAGAATTGATGTTATCTTACAAGTTAAATCTTTCGGGGTTGCCATTTGATTTTTGAGTTACTAGAAGGGTACTCGCGCAATGCAACGAGATACATCTTGATTTTAATATTTCATTTTATTTTGTATCTCAATCGATGTTATAGTATGGCATTATGTGATTTTGAAAAAGCGATGATGTTTTTATTTTTGAATAAAATATAAACTTGAAAATATCATAAAAAATTGACAAAAATATATCGATAATAGTATTAAATTAACTATTTAAATTTTCTATTTTTGTGTAATTTTTTAATTCAATTTTTTTATTATAATTTAATTTAGGTTCAATAACGAAATAATTTATATTTAGTTTAATAATATAATTTTTTATATAAAGTTAATAATTAATTATTTTGTTAGAACTCGATAATTATCTTAATCATATTTTAGATTTTTTTATATTTTAAAATGAGATGTTTATTCTCTATTTGATAATGTTTATCCGCAGTCAGTTACACGAATTCAAACATGGAGCTTTAATAAGTTGTACTTATGTATAATTTACTTGTAATCTTGAATGTTAAGTAATATACATCAATATACAGTACTTCATACATAAAAAATGATTTTCAAAAGTTTTTGTCAAATATACAAGGGTTATTATAATAAGGCCCTCACAGCACATGAATTCCTTCTACCAAATAAGATCGCAAAAAAGTATGAGATATTTATGAATAATATATTGCCTTCAATGATTATCTTCATAATTCAAATGGCCAAAGAAGAACGATACTCTCGATATAATAAATTAATGAAAGTTATTTTGGAGAAATTAATTGGATTTTTTGGGTCATGAGTAATGCAATGGATGTTACCCAAAATGGTGTCTGAATCCTTCATTGTATAATTGATCTTAAATTTATGTTTCAGATACTTCTTTGATTTTGAATTTTAAATCTTTAATGTTGTAATTTGTCGGCAGATATATAAAGCTCTCATTCCCTGAACACCATCATGTCTGAACAGTAAACTCTGAAGCATATAAACAGATTCAGATAATTCTGGTAATTAATTGTTCATATTATTATCACTTCCATTTATCTGTTTTCTTTTGTTTGTATATAAATAGGAACTTTCTAATTTTATGGGTCCTTGTGTTTTCTTTGTAGTCGAGTTTTTTCGACCATTAAGCAACGTTTTCGATGAGTAGAAGCGTGTACCCCCATGACCATTATTTGAGTTACGGAGTTCCGGATGAAATTGTTGAGAATCTAGAACAATTCTTTCCGGATAATGATGGTCTTAGCTATGAAGAGGTTCTCTTACAGCAGGTAATTTGAAATCAAGATCATTCCTTTCTGCTTCTTGAATTCAGCCATGAGTCAAATTCAACTTTCAGTTAACCAAATCAAATATTAGGAAACCATCCTACCCTTTAATTTGAGGTGGGGTTTACCTAAAAGGTTAGATCTTGACCTTATAATGTTCTTAATGGAAGGTTTTTCTATTGACATTGTTAGGCAAGCATGTATCAATCATTTCAAGAACGTGATATGAGCAACAGTGTGGGTACGTATGATGATGGCATCCAGAACTGGGGTCGTCCTGTACAGGATGAAGGTGAATCCTCGAGGCATGTAGGTGGGTTGTCACAGGAAGCCATGGATGAAGCTTTGGCTAGATCTTTGCAGGAACTAGAGGATGGATTTGAGGGTGTTTTTATATCTGAACACAGTGGCAGTGCAAGTGGTGGGTTAAGACTTTATCCTATTTGTTCTTTGACTCTAGAACGTAGAAGTATCTATAAACATGTTGTTATTACATGTTGTGCAGGTAACACAGGAAGTTCTATAGCAACTCCTTCGAGGGTATTGATACTCTTTTATTTGAGGTTTACCATTTTACTCACCCGCTTTTATAGTGTTCATCAATCTCCATGTTCAATGATAGGCCGAGGTTGCAAGCTCGGATTCGGGCCAAAACTCCATTGATCCTGATAATATGCAATATGAGGTACATCTTCAATTTTTCTTTCATTAATGAAACGACTTGTATTAAAACTTGAACATCTGTGATGTTTTTGTGTGCAGGAATTGGTGAACTTGGGTGAATCCATTGGTGTTGAAAATAGAGGGATATCGGGAGCCCTTCTTTCTCGGTTACCGACTTCCAAGTACAGATCTGGATTGTTCTCAAAGCTTAAGAAAAAGGAAGAAAGGTAAAAATTGTTGCTCAAAGCGTGAGACTTTAATAGTTTTAACTCATTACCATAAAGGGTACGCGAAAACTTTTGGATTGAACATGATTCCTTACGATATGCATTGTGGATATGAATCAAGAAATAGATATCAATAATCAGTTTCATGATGAGGTGGTTCTTATGACTGTTTTAACATGGGTGTGTGTTTTTAGCTGTGTCATATGTCAAATGAATTACAACTCTGGTGATCTGTTGATCATGCTGCCTTGCTCGCATCGGTATCATACAAAGTGCATTACTGATTGGTTGATGGTGAAGAAGGTAATAAATCTTGGCTCTTGTTAGTGTCAATTTTCAAGGATTACCCTTTATATATCTTCAGGTTTTGCTTCTGCTGTTGATGCTAAAGTTGTGATTAGCTCATCCATGTTGGTTCTAATGGAAACTTTTTAAATTTTGCTCTCAGAACTGCCCTATTTGTCAAAAGGAGGTGGTTTAAAACCTTGAAGAAGTGAAGAAAGGAAGAAGCTTTGCATGGAGAAGATACAAGAAAACTGGTTTATAGATATTAATATATATAGATATATATAGGGTAGATTTCAATTGCAGACCAAGTCATTCTAAACAAACTCAATCTCTACCATTGGTTCACTTGATCTACGGTCACGAAAAAAGCAATAGCATCAATATAAATAAGGCTTCCTCTTTCTTCTCTCCTTGATCTGGGTAATACTTTTATATCTCTTCTGTCATGGATCTGGTACACGTTTTTTATCCTTACTACTACATCATTCCTCAAAGAAGGATTATGTTTGAATGTGGAAACATTATCGTATTGATGCTCGACGGATGAGCCCAGATGCGTGAAACCCATGAGAATGGGTCAATGACCCTGATTCATATTCATATGTGTGAAACCCATATGAGCCCGGATTCAGAAATTCACCCATATGAGCCCGGATTCAGAAATTCGGGGATGCGTGAAACCCAGATGAGCCCCGTGGTAAATGAATTTCACGGTTTCAGATCTCTCTTTTCTTGACTTCGATCTGTTTCAGATGTGTTTCTTCTTGAGTTCAATCTGTTTCTTGTTTTTTTAGATCTGGTTTCTTTTTGAGTTTGTTCTTCAGAGATGGGAGGGAGGACACCAGAGAAAGAGATCTGTAACAAGTCATCTTCATCTCTTTCTTTTTGAGTTCGATCTTCATGTATCTGGGTTCATTTTTGTGGGTTTACTGATTATGTTTTAATGAATCTGGGGTTCCTTTTTTTGGGTTTAATTATTTTGTTTTCATGTATCCAGGTTTATGTTTTTGGGTTTCATTTATCAAAGTTCATGATTTTGGTTTCTTGTATTTGGGTTTAATGATTTCAAGGGTTTCAAGATTCCAGCAATCTATACTATACAGGAAGTGTAATCACGCAATATAACGGGATATATATTGATTTTAATGTTTCGTTTTATTTTGTCCCTCTGTCGATGTTATAATACGGTTTTATGTGGTTTTGAGAAAAACGATAATGTTTTTATTTTTTAATAAAATATAATTTGGAGATATCTTAAAATTAAAAAAAAAAAACATATCGATATTAGTATCAAATTAACTATTTAAAAAATCTTGTTTTGTTGTGTAATTTCTTTAATTCAACTTTTTTTATTTCAATTTAATTTAGGTTTAATAAGAAAATAATTTATTTTTGATTTAATAATATAATTTTTATAAATATAATAATTAAGTATTCTTTTAG